TCATTATTTATGGCTCCAAGAAACATATGCTAATGGTAGCTCTTGACGTTGATAATTTTTCATACAGAGCACTGGGAAGACCCAGTTGGAGGTTTACACTGTCCACACAGCTAAAATTAGGAGAAGCTAGACTGATGCACTGTGCTGAAGTGGATCCAGAGAAAAGAAAAGAACTTTGGCAGCTTACAGATGTACCCTATGTGGCAGAGACTGTCATTCTTGTATAGGACTGGGCAGTCAGTGGAAGCTCTAGAGTTGATATCAGTTAGAATCTTACCATGGTCCATATTGGCTAGAGGAGGCCATATATAAAGTCACATATGCCTACCTGGTTATACCGCTGCCTGTTGCGCTGGTACAGAGGCTTGGGTGTCTTGGTGGTGTCCACCAGCTGGAAGGATGACTCGTCTTCCTCATGGTAGTAGGAGTACTGATTCCCTGCACCGAACTGGGAACTGTACTTGTCTGGAACAGAAAGAAATAATAGTTATCATCACATCATATCTGGATGAAAATACTAGCAACACGATGCAGCAATTAATGAAAAGGTGACTATGGTATGAAACCTACATTACCGGTAATCTTTAGCTGCCAGGTTACATACTACATGTACAGTGTAGTATTAACCGGTTTTTCTAGTTACTTGTATATAAGAGTGAATCGGTTCTCTGTTCATTTGTGACGCTGAAGAAGAGTGATGGATGTCACTCGAAACGTCCGGAAATAAAAAAATCCGTAACTGATCCAGTAGTAGAGTTTGAATTTTCTTACGAGTATCGTTTACCTGGATGTCTAACCTTCATCAACGTACATGTACAGTGTTATGACAAGTAGTAAGTACAAGTATTTCCAACCACTTTGAAAAGCAATGTGTTTTAGAAAACTTGAGTGCAGTATGCCCCAGGTTTACACAGTTAAGATACTGTAATTCACTTTGAGTTCACGGTGGCTAAATTTCACGGCGTGAGAAAAATCAAGGTGTTCACGCACTGATATGTTCACGGTGGCGGCAGGGGAGGTGTGAAGTTTTTTTAATAAAATGTAAAAACAACAGGAAGTAGGCTGTGCGAGCGGTTATCGACCGAGGTGTGAAGGAATCATACATATGAACAGGTAGGTCCGCGCATAGAAACTTTTGTTTGGCAATCTAGCGCGCGTCACCGGCGCGTCGGCGGTAGCTTCAATAAAGTTCATAACTTTGTAAGCCGCGCGTGTGCGCTGCTACAAAGAGCTTTAATACTATCCTTATTAAAAATACTAGAGTAGACACCATAGAAGTACGGGCTATAAATTGAGAAAAAAAAAACGGCAGCTCATTCCTTTGTGAATTCGACGCTGAGACGACAGAGACAACATCGACACCATGCTGAGCTGGCTAAAGAAGGCGAATCCATCCCTGCAGCCGCCAACACTTCCCGGCCTGCCGAACCCTGCCGACACGGACAATCCTGTCCTCACCGCCGCGGCCAACAGGGAGGTGGAGAAGGCGGTGAAAGAAGCCAACAGCCGCAAGAGGAAACGTGGCAATTACGGCACGTACGATCCGGAGACCCGGGCGAAGATCGCGAAGCTCTGCATAGAGATCGGCCCCCAGAAGACTGCTGCAAAGATGTCCAAGGAAGTCGGCAAACAGCTGAACGAGTCTACGGTGCGCTCCATCAAAAAGAGCTACGAGAAGGAAGTCAAGAAGCAGGGCACGAACAACATCGTCAGCTTCCCGAGGAAGAACGTTGGCAAACCGCTGAAGTTGGGAGACTTGGACGGCGAACTGCAAAAGTTCGTGAGAAACACTCGAGAGAACGGGGGCGTGGTGAACCGCACGCTAGTGATGTCGGCCGCCAAGGGGATCGTGTTACAGAAGGACCGCAGTCTTCTGTCAGAGTACGGCGGCCCGATCAACATCACGCTCCCCTGGGCCAACTCCTTCCTGAACCGCATGAACTTTGTGCAGAGAAAGGGAACGAAAGCCGCCAGGAAGCTGCCGGTCGACTTCGAGGCGAGCAAAGACGGCTTCCACGTCAGGATTCAGGACGCAGTGCGAGAACATGACATCCCTGACGACATGATCCTGAACTGGGATCAGACCGAGCTGCCCATCGTTCCCGTGGGCGGGTGGACATTGGAGGAGGCAGGTTCGCGCCAGGTTTCGGTGGTGGGCCTCGAAGACAAGAGGCAGATCACGGCCCTCCTCACCATCAGCCTGGCCGGACAACTCCTCCCCCCGCAGCTGCTGTACCAGGGGAAAACTGAAGCTTGCCATCCGAAGTTCCCCTTCCCGGAAGAGTGGGACGTGCATCACACCAGCTCCCACTGGTCTACGGAAGCAAGCATGCAGCGCTACGTGGACACGATCGTCACGCCCTACATGGAGGCACAGAGGGAACGTCTCGGCCTGGAGAAGGACCAGAAGGGACTTGCGATCTTCGATGTGTACAGCGCCCAGCGCACTGAGTCGGTGATCGCAAAGCTGAGAGAGGCGAACGTGATCCCCGTGTTCGTGCCAGCTAGCTGCACGGGAGAGCTCCAGCCCCTTGACGCTGATGGTGGGATCAACGCCGCCCTGAAGGATGACCTGAAGCAGAGCTTCATGACGTGGTATGCAGAGACGATCGCGAAGGAGATCGCCGACAGCAGCGTGGAGAACGCCAAGGTCGATCTCAGACTCTCAACGCTCAAGCCGATGCATGCCAACTGGTTCCTGGGCGCCATGGACAGGCTGGGCGCCAAGAAAGAACTGATCCTGCGTGGCTGGGAACGAACCGGGATCAAGGCCGCCATCGAGAAGGTTCGCTAGATTTGCACACTGTATTTACTCTAGTAAGAACTCTAGTAACACGCTAATAATGACCATAAAATGATTTGTAAATTTTGTTTGTACAAATGTTGTTTGTAGAAGTTTGTAGAAATGTATCTCAGTTTTGCATTTGATCACCGGACTAGAATTTGGGCGCCATTTTGTTTGTTTACGTTTTGAATTTGAGGTGACGCCGTAAGAAAGACTAGCGCTTTGGGGGCTTTATCGTAGGTTTCTATGTTTCAGTGACTTTTAAAACATGTTCTGTTGATTTTCCAACATCTTTCTGCAAGTTTGCTAGTCAATTTATGTGTAATTTTGACCTGTTGTGTGTTGTAAATTTTCGGAACAGAAATTTCCTTTGTCTAACGCTTCGCTTGGTGACGCCATTTTCGAACAGTTTTCTGTAAAATAGAAAATCATCTTTTGCACCGATGTACTGTATTTGACTTCTATTTTTTGTACTTATCTTGTACTAGAAATTCCTTACGATATTTTCTTAGTAAATACGAGAAGCAGTGTAATGTTTGTGTGTAGCGTTGACCTACACGTACTAGTACTAGTTTTACGTAATTAAAGTAAGACAAAATATGACACAATCTTGTGCTTCCTGAATAAAGAATTTATTTCTTGAAAAGCATTTGTGTTTTAGTTGTTATTGTAGCAGCGTCTGTGTGTAGCATGCTGTGAGATGTATGAGGTTCTGTATGGTGTGGTAATGTATCGTAAGTTCTAGCGCTAACGGGGAAGGGGGAGGGGGGCGAAAGACGAATTAGTGTTAGCGGTATTGATGAATTCACGGTACAGAAGTGACCGTGAAAACCGTGAACATATCAGTATCGTTAAAAAATCAGTAATTACAGTATGCATTGTAACATATATGTTGCATTGTTTAAGGATGGTGGAAACATGTGACATGACAGAACTATGTCGGTGAGTAGATGTTAACGATTTTACAGGTACATCATATTGTACTTAGTACTACTTACTGATGTATCTTCTGTCTTGGTAGGTGGCACCTGTCCAGTCAGACACCTGTAAGAAATAAGACACTGTAACAGTGGGGGTTTATAAGCGCTACCAACTCTCCCGGCCAATGGGTCTAGACCTTTTCGGCCGAGCGGTTAGAGTGTCCGCCTGTGGACTGGTGTCCGGGTTTGGTCGTGGGTTCAAACCCCGGCCCGGGACCAGGGGTTTTTATCTGTTTCTACTGGCTCCTCCCTGTTTCTTACAACACCTCAAGTCAATTTCATTATACCTTTACAAACAGTTCATGGACAAACATAGAAAAGAGAACCAGTTATGCAGTGCAGTTTCAACATGTGGGATAATTTTTTTACATGGACATACAAATTATTTTCTTCAAATTTCTTGAATGTTTTTATCTCTAACTGCTAAGAATAATAATCAAACCTCAACAGTTGGATGAATGCATGCACTAGTCAGTATGATTTCTCGCTGCATGAGGCAGTGATTTAATAATAATATGATAGCAAATGTTATCATGCTCGCCTGGCCTAGTTAAAATCCCGCCATATGCTAAGCAAAAAAATGTTTCCCTTCTAACTTTTCATCTTTAAGAGCGATCCCCACTTACGTGCTCTTGTATGATTGACATGTACAAAGCTAATCTATCCAAAAAGATCGTGAGCTTAGTTTAGGAATGCGATATTTGACCCGTCATCATGTCTAATGGACAGCCACCAGGGATTGCAACATGCCCCCCTCCCTCACCTTTCCGAGCCGGTCCCCTTTGCTGAACGGCTGGTACGGCATATCTTTGAATTTTTCCGGGATCGCGCACGGCCCCCAGCCGTTATGGTTGTCCTGAATCTGCGGGGGATTGAAATGAGCCATATTTGTCCGAGAAGTTCGCTGAACCGGCGGCAAAAATGAAGATTTGTCCGCCGAGGACCGCAAAAACCCAGGTGGCAAAGGCACTCCTCGTGGGTTCCCAGACTAAACCAAAACTGGGTGGTCATATATATTTAACGGCGTTATTATGGTTGGTAAATCTATCAAATAAGTACATCTATTATTCAAAATATTGCGCCATACTTAGTATCATGTATTCAAATACTATCAGTGTAAAAAAGACACTCTCTATCTATTTCTTTTTACTAAAAACTATAGCATACAAATTAAACCCCCTTTAAAGATAAGCCCATTCGAATGGTCCAAAGGTCTCGCGAGATTCTCGTTTAGTAATCACGTGACCTCCAATTAGCCCCGAGATCCGGAAGCAGGAAAAAAACTGAGGAGAAACAGAAGACTTGGACAGGTTGTCGTCAAGACTTTGGAATTTAGCGAAACATGTTTCCTTGATACCGCGGAGAAGGCCTCTAGTTGGAATGGTAAGACCTATTTTGTTGTCCTCTCTTTTGCTGTGGAGGTAAGTGCCTTGATTTTGCGTTTATAAAGACATGACAAGTGTGTTTGTTGGGGGGAGGGCCGAGCTGGATGACAGTTTTCTGGCATGGTCATCTTGATAGTGAAAGTTGAACCTTTCCCCAGACAAGCCGGCTTTGGGAGCGCCGTTAGCTCAAGGAAACGGTTGGCATTATAGTCACTAACGATCACATCGAACCACAGTTGTACTGTAAGACGCCAAGTAGCCCTTGATAACTCGTAGAAATTCTTTTTATTGTTAAGTCCATTTCTTGATTTGCATTTTCTTACTGTTTGCTCTGTGTAAGCACATGTTTAAAACAGTGAAATAATTGTCAATCCATGGTTGTTACTGACCTGATTATGTTACTAGTATATTGCACACAAGAGTGCACAATGCAGCGTGTGCGACAGATTTCTATAATAAATTTCTAAAACATGAGGTCTGTCTAACTTTTGAGGTATAATTTCTTTCCGCCTATTATTAAATGTGTTCCACTTGCATGTAGTTACACTAGATACGATTTCAGATCACGCCATGTTTCTGTCGTTACCCTTGAATAACTGCGGTAAATTTACCTTGTTGATAAAACAAACTCGCTGACGTCAGTGTCTTCTTTCGCAGACCTGAATGGACAGAAGATTCCCATTTTGTCACACCTGAAGCAAGCATGGCCAGCAAGCAGCTCACTGCTGAGGAGGGGGCGGGCAGTGGTAGTGGCACTGATTCTCCTACTGTAGGTCCAACCTTACAGTCTTGAAACCATTTCTACAACTTTGTTTAAGAAGATTAAGTACTGTATATTCATATACTAGTATTTTTGCAGGGATTTGATTTCACAATACAATGTAGATATATAAAGTAGGTGGCACCGATTCTCCTTCTGTAGGTCCAACAGACACAGTACAGTCAACCGTTTGTGCAACTTTGTTTGTTTAAGAAGATTAAGTACTGTATATTCATGTATTTTTGCAGGGATTTGATTTCACAATAGAAGTAGAAAGGAGGTTTTCGCAGTGTTTTAAGCTTGAAGTCAAAACGGTTTTGTAGCATAAAAACACATGTTTTGTGGTGTCATGATTTTGCTGTGGAGAGGCATCACAAAAAAAAAATTAAACCACTGCAAACATTTGAAGATTTGTCGTGTATCAGATTGTTGAGGCAAGTTCATCAAGTTCTTGCTTAACAAAGAAAAACTAGTGAAAGTTATTTTTACATCTGTTCACTAGTGCCATATAATTGCCTGGTAGTAATTCACAGCTAGTTGTTTGAATGTCATGGTATTGTCATGGTATGATTAAAAAGAATGATAATCTTCTGAATGGCACCATTGGTTGGGCTAAAACTTCTAACATACTTTGTTCTTTTTTCTATTTCAATGTAGCCATCAAGGAGACTAGAGACAACCTTTGGACCAGGTTATTCCACAGTCACAACACTGGGTATGGGTTAACCTCTTACACTATGTGTAATACTTATAAGAATGATAAGACAGTTCATCCATTTTACTTCAATGAGCTGACATATTACAATATATGCATGTATATGTCAACCTTTCATTTCTATTGGTGTCAGTACTTTAAGGATTTTATGAAATGGTAAAGCTTACTGAGTTTCATTTTAATGATATTTTGTCAGCTCGTAAAATGACATTTGATCTTTGACAGAAGTATAAATTAAGGACAAATTCGGTATGTTTTTTTGTTGTTAAAAACAACTTTCTAAAGTCTGCTTTAGATCATATTGTACACTACAAGCCCAGAAACATGAGTTTGCAGAAGGGATGTTGTCTGCACTGTTGTTGAGAGCATTTACCCCTTTGTATTGCAGTAGCTGAGGGCTCACCAAACTATCCATGGCAGAAGTCCCAGTCATTTGACAGTGATAATGAAGAAGAAATGTCTGATGTAAGTTCACATCCTGGTAGTGGTACAAGACAGACTTAATTGTGCAACTACTCTAATTTAGACTCATTAGGTGCAGTATTATAAAGTGTCATCAATATGTATGGTTGTTAGAACACTGTGTTATTGGCACTTGTATAATGCGAAGATCGATAAGTCTACAGGGCGTAATCAGTGCTAATCAATTTAGATGTCCATGTTGTAATTTGGGAACACAGAGAATTATTGACATCTCCTCTGTTTCAGGAGCCCTTGGTGTTTACAGAGACACCCTCATCCAAGTTGTTCTGCCTGTTGTGTGAGAGGGTCTTTAAAGATGCTGTCATCACAACATGTGGGGTAGGCAACATTTCTACACATCATTTCTTTCGTTTTCAACCTCAGTAGCCTAATGGTAAAATACTATGTTCACTGTAAGATAGGATTTGCTTTAATTGTGACATTATCAAGGCTGTTTTTCTAATAATAATATTCTATTGTCTTATTTCCAACGCAGCACACTTTCTGTAGGTGGTGCGTCAACATGAAGACAAATGGTAAGGCCACAAGCTGTTATTAAAATAAATGGCCATAACACTTAAACCCTCTTATTAACTAAACATTCCTCATACACTTAAGTACCCTACAACTAGATGACTATAATTCCAATGTTGTTAGGTGCAGGCAATACCCTTTTCACACACATACATATGACATGACTACTGTAAATTCATTTACTTTTGTAGTGGTTTTAGTTCACGGTAGGGATAAAAAGATTTTTACAGTGTCTTAAATTTGTGGATGAAACAATTCTGTAGTACAGTAGCAACACATTGGAAATGCATATCCACACTGTTATGAAGTTACGGTGGACAGGTTGCCACAAAAGTGGCAAAAGCAACATGATTTTGAAGGGGTGGGTCCAATGGAGGCAGTCTTGTATTAAAGAATGTTTGATCTTCTGTATCCTGTAGAAAAGTGTCCGGTGGATGACAGTAAGCTGTCGGTGGTGGTAGCAAACATCGCAGTATCGGAGCAGATCGGAGAACTCTTCATCCACTGTAAATATGGCTGCCAGCAGGCGGACGGCGGCAAGATGGGGGAGTGGGAGCTGGACCCCAGGGGCTGTCCCATGACCGTCAGGGTGAACGCCAGAAAGTGAGAGAAAAAACATTACATTTTGATCAATCTAAAGCTTTGCAATGGGCGCTTGATGCATTTGTGACATTCTCTTCACAGATACATTCTCTGGATGTTGTAGGTATTAGTTGGTTCTTGATATGCTACTTGATGGTTGAGTTAGAGCATAAAAGCAAGAAAAGCATTGTACAGTATTCTCTTTGTGACAAACATTGTGTCTTGTTTCCTAGGGAGCATGAGGCCTCCTGTGGATACGCACCAGTGTCATGTCCTAACAACCCCAACTGTCCCCCTCTGAAGAGAATGGTAAGTCTTCGTGGAGCAACATTTGTATCACAGCTGTCTTATTCCTATGATTCCCCCTGCAATGCTACCTGTCATGGATTTTTAGTAAGAACAAAAGAGCTATCTAAGATAGTCAGATGAGCCATCTAAGCGATTCAAATGAAGACAAAACAAAATTCAGCATTCAATTATTACCTGTAATAAGTCTGGCTGGTGGAAAAGATCTTTGTTGAATTTCATTAAAGAGCAATCTGGTATGTTTGTAATATTACAAGAGTCAAATAATCAGAATCACAGGGCAATGATAGAATAAAAAGGAACAAATACATCTCCAGTTAATGCAATGATATTGCAAACAAAAACAGCCCTACATTTTAAAGACTACTGGTATCTAAGTGTCTTCCTTTGCTTAACACCCTGCTGAACAAAGTTCTTTACACGCAACCAATGTTTTTCAACTTGCAATGTTTTGGTCGACAGACTGCCACACCCAACTTTTACCAAAATAGCAGGTGAAACAAACGTTGAATGTTGTATGTAAACAACATTGTCTACCAGCGGTGAAACAAGTCACGACTTGAGTGTCTGATTTCAGGAACTTTCTGGTAGTAATTCTGGAATTTTCTGGTAGTAATTCACTTCTTTGCAGTGCTAGTTGTTTGAATGTCATAACATTGTCAATGCCTTACTGAACGAAGTTCTCAATGTTTTTTAAGTTCCAATGTTTTGGTTGACCAACTGCCACACCCACCCTCTACCAAAATTCAGCACTGGTAAAAAACAAACCTCTGTTGTGTGTAAATAAGCTGGTTTACCAGCCTGGTGACGCAAGTCATGACGTGTCTGATTTCAGGAACTTGAGGAACACTTGTCTGGTAGTAGCTTTGCAGCGCTAGTTGTTTGAATGTCATGGTATTGTCAATGCTCTGCTGAACAAAGTTCTATACACACAACTAGTGCTGTGTACCTAAACTCACATTTAGGTTCAGATCCAGATTCAAATCCAGAGGGGTAGGTTCAGTTCCAGACTCGTAAGTCCAGACCTAAACCCATGGCATATACAAAATTGCATGTTGGCAACCATGTAATGTATGGGCAAAACTGTGGCTACATAACATGAATGCCAACACTTGATGATGCCCGATGGCAAGGTTTCTTCATTTTGCAATCTATGAAAGGTTTTATGTGGTTTGGAAAGAAAAGGGGTATGTGACATGGCTTTTTTTGTGATAAGTCCGGAATCGGTTCTTGACTTTCAGGTTTTATTGAACTTGAACCTAAACAGTCCAAGTCCGGAACCGGTCCAGCAAACCGGTACACAGCACTACACACAACCAATGTTTTTCAACTTGCAATGTTTTGGTCTACCGACTGCCACACCCACCCTCTACCAAAATAGCAGCAGGTGAAAAACAAACTTTTGTTGTGTGTAAATAAGCTGGTTTATCAGGCTGGTGAAACACATCACGACTTGAGTGTCTGATTTCAGGAACTTGAGGAACACTTGAAGCAGCGTGACCATATCAGATGTCCTCACCACAAGTATGGGTACGTACTCAGTTCCTGTCAATCACCATAGACTTCTCACTACTCAGCTACTTTTTGTGCTGCAAATTTCCAATTGTGTCAATATTTACAAAACAGTGTTGCTGTAGTAGCATGTCGGTTTACTAGTGTTTAGTTATGCATTATGGTACCTACATGTTTGCATGTGCATCTGTGTGTATCTTCCTTGGCATCGTGCCATCTTCTGGATCCTTCTGGAAGCCCTGGTTGCTTGGGCTATAGGCATCGTTTCCTGTACACAGCAAAGGAATCCATTTCCTGGTTCAAAAAGTCATTTTGCTGCTCAAATTCAATTCCTGTTGCGGAGGCTTGTAGCAAGGTTGCTTCGTGTGGTGAAAGTATTTTTTTTTTTCGCTTTTCACAAAATTCTTAACCCTAACCCTGACTATCTTTTTTTCTTACTTTAGATGCACATTTGTGGGCACCAGTGGTGATGTGTCCCACCACCTGACTAACATCTGCAGGTAGGTGGACTTCTACTTACTTAAACCCCTTATATCTGTGCAGCACAGGGTTGGTGGAAGGCATTAAGATGTAGAATCAGGGAAAATAGTCAAATGTTATTTTTGAGGTTCTCCGAGTATTGTTGGACATGTTTGTTTAGGGTGTAGCATTGACGTCTGTGACTAGAATAACAGACTATTTTGTAACAAACATTTCCTTGAACCAAAAGCTTCAGGCACCCCAAAGTAACAATCTCTGCATTGTACATATCAGACGACACTATTTTCAGAATGCCCATTCTGCAGTGTAGATTTTGCAGAGACATTTTCAATATTGTTGAAGAAAAATTAAGCAACCTCCAGTTTTGCAGACTGAAAATATCTGGCAAGGGGTTCAATGGAGCTTTTGTGTTTACTACTGACTCTATAATATACATTCAAGTAATTTTGATGGCATGTATTTTTCAAATTGCATGTAAAATGTAAAACGTACAATTTTGTATATGCTGTGGGTTTAGATCCAGACTTGTAAGTGTGCATTTGCAGAAAGTCTTTCCGAATTGCCGAGCAAAATTGTGACTTTCTGCAATATTGCAAAACACTGAAGAAATGTATTTCTACCACTGATAATACAATGGATGGTTGGTTGTCCCCTCCTGCAGGTTTGAAGGCATTAAGGAGTTCCTGCAGCAGACGGAGGATAAGATGCGTGAGATGCAGCTGCAGCTGGCGCAGAAGGACCAGGAGATCGCCTTCCTCAGGTCCATGCTCGGCAGGCTCTCCGAGAAGATTGACGCACTCGAGAAGTCCGTGGAGGTCAAGCTGGGTAAGACAACAGAACAGTTCAACTAAGACTTAAAAGTACATTGTATAGTAGAATTAAGAAACTTTGTGTTGTATGGTAACCTTTTAGCATTAGCATTGTTCCTGTAGTGCAGGAAATGTGCTTACATGTAAATTTCCCATTATTCTGTATCTAGGTGTTAAAGTAAAGCTTTTTTATGCACACAAGTTTAGGTTAAATTTATATTTGCAAATCCATGCCAGAGGGCTAATTGCAACATACAATGTATACAACATACATGTACATATATGAAGTAACTTTTCTATTCAGAACAAGTCACTATTCTATTCAGAATACAATCTAAACTTTTGGGTTTGACTTCTTTATTTTTATTTAACATTATTCTTAAATGTACTGAAACTTCTAACTATAACTTTTTTTGTTTAGGAAAACTAAGAGAAAGCTTTGACGTTTCATTTGGTTGTTTTTAGCATCATTCCATGTTATTGTATCCCACCAGGAAGTGAAATAGAATACGTCGTTGGCTATAATGACTGTGTTTTCTAAATATAGATGTGTTGGACGAGAGCTGTAATAAGCTTCAAGATGAAGTCATGGAGTCAAGAAGAGACTGTGCCCTGATCAATGTAAGTGTAAGTGAGGGTGTCACATATGGAGTTAACCTAATGTTTGTTAATTGTACATAAATGTATTAACACAACTTCATGGTGAAATTGTACAGCATACATGTACATGGTAGGGCCTCTTTACATGTAATTAGACTTTCCTGAGAGTATTCAATCTATAGCCTCCTAAGCTAAATGTGGATCCAAATAAAATCAAAGTCAAAGGTAGCCTTTGATTTCCAGATTTGTATTGGTTAGGCATCAGGGATAATGTTAATTGAAATATATGTAATGTACTATTGAAATCTATGTCTAAAGATACAAGTATGCACTGAGACACATTTCTTTGTTCCAACACAGGATGAGCTCTCTCACATCAATGCAAGATTGAACACTGGAGTTGTAGGAAGTAAGTTTTTTTAAAGAATTGAGTTGTATATCACTGGATAAAGAAGTAGTGACAATCCTGATTCAGTAATCTGGTACATGTATTGCTTGCCTAATGTTTCCATGTCACATATGTGACTGTAACAGCCCCATGAATTGTGTATTTCCCTGTCTTTCAGCTTTGGATCCTCAACAGATCTTCAGATGCAAGGGAACTTACGTTGGTCATCAGGTAGAGTACAATGTTATATGCTTCCAGTTACTATGTACAAAAATAAGGTTTTGATATCAAAACATGTATCAGGGCTCAAAATTAACATTGTCCCAGTGTCAAATGACACTAAATTTTCAGCTTGGGACAATTCAAATTACGTTTCGGGACAATTTCGGGGCAATTTGAACATTCTGAGACCTTTCACGTCATTTGGGAACGTGATCCATCCATCCTACTGCTGGCTGCCGGCAGCCCATAATACTCTAACAAACATTTAAATTTGACCAATCAAGGATTCCAAATACCGGGGAGGGGGGCCTTAAAGATGGTGCCGTGCCCATGATATTATCATGTATTTCCCTACGTTTACTTATAAAGTGGACTTCAAGTTGTACAAATTCAGTTGTTGTTTTCTTATTGTTGTCATTAACTTATTTCCTGAAAAGCAGGCTGGGACAGTCCATCTTCAGTTCGGGACAATTGAAATCTATATTCAGGACAATTCTGGGACAGTAGTAAAAAAAGTTAATTTTGAGGCCTGATGTATGCTTTTCCTGCAAGTGATTGTTGTAGATGTAATTGTGATTTTATATAGAAGCATGGAAGAAGTGAACCAATGTTGTACCATTTGTTGTCTGTAGGGACCTGTGTGGACACTGTGTGTCCATGGGGATCTGTTGTTCAGTGGATCCTCTGACAAGACAATCAAGGTAAGACTAAAAGTTGTTTTTAAAGACGGGTCAAGTGTATGAATTGTGAGAGATTTAGATGGTTGTTTCTTTCACGTTTGAGAAAATGATTAAGGGAAGTAAGTTTCTATGTGATTTGTCATCACAGTATCTACAAATACATATTATTAATTAATGTTACATAGGTTAACACAGTACTGTAAGGAATTTCCAATTACGTATAATAGTTCTTCTATTTTTGTGGCTGTAACAGAAGTTTAAAGCGTTTTTGCTGGCTGTTACAGGTTTGGGACACATGCACCAACTACAAGTGCCAGAGAACATTGGAGGGACACACAGGCATTGTGTTAGCCCTCTGTATCCACAAGTATGGACCTCCTCATGGGTAGATCACAGGCACAGACATGCCTTCTTCCAATGTCTTCATCCTCTGGCATAAAATATATACACTAGATACAGACTGCTTTATCAGTTGAAGTTTGGAAAGTGCATTGCATACATTTAAAGCAATATTTGACTAATGAGTCATTATTACTTTTGAATAATATGCTGTTTTTTAGCAGATGTGAACACAGAAATCCAATGCATGTACTGTCTTTTGACTTGTTGAAAAATTGAGTGTCTCAAACAACAAGGTTATGAGACATTGTAATCAGAGAACTATTAAACAAACAACTACATGCCAGAGGAGTTGAAGGGATTGGAAAATGACAGTTGTGTGACACCAGGCTTTGGTTCCTTTTTCTTTTCTTACTAATCCTAGGAACTTGTTAGATGTCTATCCCTGATTTACCCTTCCCTTCCCTCTTTGGTAAGGCCATGTTGATTTGATTATATGGATGACATCAGCGCGTGCATGAATTTTTGTCCGTCAACAAAAAAAAAGTTTTCAGCCATACTGTAAATGAGCAAAAATATACCGTAAGTTGCAAAAAAAAATATTTAAAAACCATACCAATGTCGTAGAATGCCAAAAATCAAACAAAAAAGATGAAAATGTAAAGAAATAAATTTGAAGAGTAGATTATTCGCCAAACCATATTCTGTGTCATTTGTTCAACCTTCATGACCATGTAGATTTCGTAATGAAAGCAACTTTTTTTTTGCCAAACTTTTTTTTTATTCGCACGTGCGCATCAGTTTTGGGGTTCCCAGAGGATGTCATCCATATAATCAAATCAACATGGCCTAATGTGGGCACAAGGTAGTGATAGACAAATAGCTGACATCACACTGTTAACGCTTCAGACAGATTCGATCACCAGAAGAACACCAAATTTCATAATTGTGAGAATCAAGCTTATTTTTTGCCTGAAAATCTACCAGTACATTGGTTAGGTTTGGGTGATCTGCAAACAGTGGCTGATCCTTAAAAATTGAGAGAACAGCAGGGGTATCCATCCAAAAATGATCTTTTGAGCTCACAGACTCATTGGGCAGACTATATTCTTGCTGTGTGATGCCAGCTTCAGTATGATATGTAGGTGTCAAGTGTTAATCAATGATTAGATACAGGTAGCCTTTATGATAATGGTGTAATAATGTACATAGGCAAAGAAGTATTTTGTAGTTATTTGAATAAAATTTCCGTTCCTTTCAGCAACAAGTTGTACAGTGGCTCTGCTGACTGTTCCATCATGGTAAGAAAGGACGTCCATTACAATCTCTTTTAACTTGTCTCTTAAAATTTGGCTTTGGGCAGTATCATAATCGACGTCATTTTCATGTTTCAGAATTAGTCTTTTCTTGCAACTTGATTCAAGTATACCTGCTATTGATAACTATTGTCTTTGAAATGGAAAAGATGATAGTTCTATTGTGACACATACTCAAAACTCTGGTATCATAATTATTATCTGATAAGTGTCAAACTTTTCTTTGTCCCTGTTCCGCAGGTGTGGGATATCCCATCGCTGGAGCACATGAAGACTATCCAGGCCCACGATAACCCAGTCTGCACCCTGGTCGCTTCCAACAACCTGCTCTTCAGCGGCTCACTCAAGGCCATCAAAGTAAGTTCTCAAGTAAATTCTCAAGTACAAGTACATTGTACATGCACAAATAGCCACGCTTTTCTCTCTTACTGCCGTAGTTGTATGTCATCCTTTAGATTGTCTATTGCTTATGTAAAGTACATGTATATATCTGAAGCTACACTAATGTCTTATCAGGTGTCACTCTTTTGAACAAAATATTATTACATTGTATTATGACTACATAAAGTAAGTTACCATAGCCTGTTTTGAGCCTGCTCCTTTGTACATTGGTGGTCCAATACCTCTGGAAAACTACACTTTGTCTTGTCAGGGTTTAGTCTTTGTAACCACAGTTTTTTTTTTCTCCCCCAGGTCTGGGACATCCACACCCTGCAGTTGAAGAGAGAACTAACAGGACTGAACCACTGGGTGCGAGCCCTGGTGGCCTCCACACACTACCTGTACAGCGGGTCCTACCAGACCATCAAGGTACACAGAACATCAGACCAAGTTGATTTTTCATACAAAGGCATATAAGTAAAATCATTCTTTATTTGAACATAAGGCCACACCAATTTTATTTGTTGGTTCTCAGATTCTTCTTCATTTTTTCTGATTTGCAAAAAAAAAGATTCTCAAATATGCTCATATTTTGTCCGCAACAGTTGAGAAAAGTCTTTTTCTTCCTGGTTGTTATAGTTTTTCCAGCTATCAATGCAGTGGTTTGATTAAAAGTTCAAAATTCATTGTTTAAGTATTAAGCCAGCCTTTTGTGTTGACTTCATGGCTCGTATTGTAGCATTTGGGGCTATAATAGGATGCCTAGACCTGGTTTTATTTTTTTTTTTTTTCACCCTAACGTTTCATATTTTTGCTAAAAAGATCTGAGAACCAACAAATTAAATTGGTGTGGCTTAAAAAAATTGACTTAAAGTCCAGGTCACATTAGTCATTGCTGAACATGCAGGGGAACATTTACCAGTAGTATATTGAACATGTCTTTTTTGTATGTTTCAGATCTGGGACCTGAAGAGCCTGGAGTGTGTGCATGTACTGCAGACATCAGGAGGCAGTGTGTACTCCATTGCCATCACCAACCACCACATACTATGTGGCACCTACGAGAACTGCATACATGTAGGTTCAACAGACATTCACTGGGTCACTGTAGGATGGTGTGCATTGCATAATGTAGTAGCATTAAAACAAAGACTGCTGCATAGAACATGTACAACAAGGACTAATTATTTAATAAGTATAATTATTACATTAAGTGCACTGTCAACTGCAATTTATATGATGTCTTCAATTTATGTGAAATAAATCAATATTATTATTAAGGTCTTTAAATAAATAAATAATGCTTTGTATAACTTCAGCAAAAAGCTAACTTTCACTACAATGCATTTCTACATTCTTTTGTAGCAGCTGCAGGTTTTAGTTTCTGTATTGTTGAAGTTGTAGATATGGTAACTAGGCCAGCATCTGGGTATGAAATAATCTGTTACAATGTGTTTCTTTCAACGTACTTTTATTAGATAATGAAAAGAGGCACTAAGGACAGTACACTGAATCTGTTTCCATTACATCCTGTACTATGATTGTCTTTCTATATATAAGGACATGAAACAGTCTTTACTGAGTTTTAAACAATTTTGTGTCTGTCCACAGGTGTGGGACTTGGATACCCACGAGCAGATCCAGACCCTGACAGGACATGTGGGCACAGTCTACGCACTGGCTGTGGTCAACACTCACGAGGGGACCAAAGTCTTCAGTGCCTCCTACGACAGGTCACTGAGGGTGAGTTCAAAACTCCTGTAATTCCTGATTTTTTCACAGTCCTTTTACATTTGCAGTTTTTGCAGCCACTTAAGTACCACAAACTTATCATTTTCTTTTTCCTGCACCTACCACCACCTTGAACATCTACCTCCATCTCTATTGTTGTTGCTTCTTCGTTGACTCGTTTTTGGCAACTCCTCAGGTGTGGAGCATGGACAACATGATCTGCACACAGACGCTGCTGCGTCACCAGGGCAGCGTGGCCTGCCTGGCTGTGTCCAGGGGAAGGGTGTTCTCTGGAGCTGTCGACAGTACAGTCAAGGTCAGGGCCCTCAGTCTTTTCCTCTGGGTACAGGAGTGTTTTTCGGGTGGCTGAGATGTGGGTCTGTCCAGAGTAGGTTGACAGTATGTGGGTAGAAGGAAGGTTGATGACAGGCAGAACCACAGAGGGTCTAAGAATCTGGCAGGGAGCCATAGGCTGATGACATGGGGTAATTCAAGAAGCTAAGGATTGCATGCTTCCTGGTAGTCTGAAAACCCTGGTAAAAAGAAAGATTTAAACTTATACACATGACTTACGAAGGAGCTTTCAGACAGCATCTGCCATATTTCTTAAGCTACTGAAAAAGGTAGTTGCGAGACCTGTAGGTCAACACTGGTCTTAAATCTCTGATTTCTTGTTTTATATGATTAGATTTACTTAGTGTACATTCTGTTTGCTCCTGCAGGTGTGGCAATAGCCACCAGGGGGCGCTGCAACACTGAGGGAACCTTGCACCATCAATCCATTATGAAGAGGGTGGACAAATTTCACAGAGATCTATTTTCCTACAAACAAGAGATGAGTATTAGACTATACATGGTGTATGTATATATGGTCGCTCTATTGAGAGGAGGCAACATGTTATCATTTGTCAGCAAATAACGTCAAGGGACGGAGGTTGCAATTTCTTTCTTCCAGACACCACAGTCAGGGGCCTTTTATATACCGACAACACAGGAGCAATCTCCATCCTGACGGTGATTTTATTCCCAGTCCTTTTCTACATGTATTTAGGGAGAGGTGAGTCTTTTTAAGTAAGGTAGGATGCATCCAGAAATATAAAAAAGAGATAGCCACGGGGGCAAACTCTCCTACAGCAAATTTTCTTCGCACTCGAGTGTTGCAATAGCTCCAAGGCAGGGGAACCAGTTCTGTTACGGCAATCGATCGGCATGGGGCATCGTTTGGGTATAGATAGAAGAGCTATGGGTGGTTGAGAAATGCAGAAAATCGTTGCCTCAGGAATATTCTGGGCACGTCTGTCCAAAGCTCTGCTGAGGAAGGTAGCAGAAGGCAGTTGTACAGTATGGTAGAGTTCTAAGCAGTGCAGGCCATGACCAAGGTGTATTCTTGTCTACAATGGCTTACTGCTATTATGGTTTTAAAAGGTGACAAGTTGTCGACCCAACAATAGAATTTCTTGTATAGGAAAGGGGCTTTTAATTTCAAAACACGTAAAAGTATTTAGATTTATTCAGACAAGCTTATGCAGTCATTTTAGGAAATTATAACTATATACAACAAATGTATATCTATATTGTAATTTTTAGGTGAGGATTTTACTTATGTGCCATGGCATGGCATTTTAAAAGAGTGGGTACATGTAGCTCCTTCCTGTACTGAAAAATCAAATGTTTCTACACTTGTACAAATTATATGTTCTGAAGGAGGATTGTGAATGGCTTATATAACTAATGCTAGGAGGACTTGGCAAAGAAGAGGTGCCCGTTCTTAGCAATAGGGGTTTACTACTAAAAGAAATGCCAACATTTCTATATCAGTGTTAGTAAAAAGGGTATTCACTGTATGCTATATCACATGGTGAATACTCTACCAACCTAAAAGGTACCCGTCTGTAGAAGTAAATGGCTAAAGCTCTAAAGTGGAAAGGATGAAAGTGTAAAAATAGTGAAATTTGCATAAACCTGTCACTATGGGAACAGTGTATGTACATCAAAGCTTATTTAGAGAAGTGCTGTCCGACTTATATAGCATGCTATAGCCAGAAAGGAAACCGTCACTTAAGATTTGGCTGGGATTATTGAAGTGTATGTACACAAAATTAAAAGAGGGAGGGGCTGTCAGAAATGTTTGTATAACCTACTTCCCAGCAGTGAAAATGCCCTTAAATCAGGAGAAAATGTAGCATTATAACAAAGGGCTCCAGCACTAACGAATATGTTTGTACTGTTAGTTTTACCAAAAGGCAGGGCTATAGAGCTCACACTACTACAGTAGCTCAGATCACCAAACTAGGTGAAGACTTCTCGTCAATGTAATGGCTTGGGTTGCAGCTTGCATTTACAAAGTCTGCTTGTTAACAGGGCAGCTTCATGTAAACAAGAAAGAAAACAGAGAGAGTTCTTTCACTATTGGGATAAAGTAAAGTACACCTTTGACAATCATAGTTTTTAGTTTAGCCACACTGAAATAACAATGCTTACTGTGGTAGTAAAAAGTAATCTGTAATGTAAAACAACAGCACCTACTGTAACAGCACATGTATAACTACTGTCTTTTTATTTACCAAATTAATCAGACTTGATTAATACCAGTAGTTTGATTTGAAAGAGTGTTATACATGTAAGTGTACCAAATGGCTAGAATGGCAAAACACTTGAATAGTAAACCGTCTGTATCAGTGCATCTGCCAATATGTATGGCTATGGCAGGTAAATTCTACATCACACATTGAAGAGTGGAATGTTAAATGACCTACAAGTTGCCATCTTATCCAGTTGTACAGATTTAGTGTTGTACATAAGCGTATCGAGTTTTAGCCTTGACGTCGTCAGTAAGGTTTCTTTTCCAAGGGCTCCAAGTACCTGTACCTGTAACTCTCCCTCAGGTGAACCTATGTTTTGAAATCCCAACCATCAGGAGATCCTTCTGTAAATAGTTTTTACCCAAAGCCCAAATAGATACGAACACATGGACCTGTATATGGTCACTTTCAAAACTTCCATCTTTGTGCAGAGAGACTTTAACTATGTACCCTGTTAAGAAGCATGTGTACATTGAGAAATTGAAATGATATAGTCATCTTGTGAAACAGAACTATAGAAGTTCTCCCAAAATCGATGTCTACAGTATTTTAGGGGTAAGGTTGCTTTTTTATGATTATGTCTGCATTGGTAAGAGGTGGGAGCGGTTGTCTCCTGTGATGTAAATTGATTCACTATCTATTTGGCAAAGAATACTGTGCCAAAAACAGCTATGCCATAATAAAATACCTCATCATATATTTGGAGTTCTGTCCTTTTTGTGTGTGACTGTGGTTTCTAACCTAGCTTGTATACTTTTTGGTTTCTTATGTCAGTATACATCAGTATTAACTGGAAAATTATCTGGAAAATTGTTGCACTTGAGAAGAATATCTACTGTTCCTTGAGAAATAATGAAGAGTAAAATCAGAATGCTTATGATTTTATTATCTAAACATCCCACATAAGAGTAACATATAAATGTATCTAATACAAATGGTGTGAAAAAAATATACTCTAAATGTTCTTTTTGATATTACCAGCACTCACTGGACTACTATGTACATTCCACCAGTCTGGTCTGTCATTTTGCTTCAATCTACAACTACAAATGGGTCATGGAAATACATCATTGGATATAAGTACAAGGCTAAACATATTAATCTTTTAAATGTATGTTTCATCCTCTCAGACATTTCATTTTTTATTTTATTTTAGCCAAACATTTTTGGTCTATAGGAAGGAAGAATCTTCAGCTTATACTTGTGTGTGAAAAAATATTGTATATTTTGTAACATGATCACCCATTATGTATTATAATGACAGCTTTCTGTTGGCCAATGCTGGGTGCAGTTGTGCCAGCTCCTGTAGACTCTCTTGTCTCTGTCTCCTGATAGAAGCCAGCACCACCTCACACTCATCAGTGTACTCTAACTCTCGCTGGAAAACATGGGCATGTGTCAGGGTTACACACTACAGAAGTCCTGTGGAATGTATGCCTGATGCATGACTATTGGGAGGGAAAAAGGAAGAATGGAAGGAAGGAAGGATGGATGGATGGATGGATGGATTGATGGATGGATTATTGTTTGCAGTGAAGAAATTAGATCAACTTCATGTTACATTCACAACTGACACAGGTTTTCTATCAAGAAAACTTTGTAACTACTACCTTAAAGAATGAAAACACCCTGTATGATGGAGTCAAAGATGTATCAAAGAAATGTGTACCTACCATGTGGGTTATACCTTCAGCTTTCGGCTCAGATGGTCTCCTGTAATATGCAAGACAGACAATTGGTTTCCGACAAAGTAAGATCTACCATAACAGGGATTTGCAGAAAAACATGAACAAGCTTCTGCAAAGCATGGAATGCACATATCTACATTAAGTTAATTTGCGAAGCGTGCAATATCTATATTGTGTTAGTTTAAATCTGAGCAAAAACTGCTCACATTGGAGCCTCGTTTGTAAAAGGTTTTATGTCGTCGGACATGCTATCTTGCTGCTGGACCACAATATTGTCTGTTTCTTCTCGTTCCATTCCTGTGGAGAATTGATGACCATGTTACAAGAAAAAATGTACAGTTTTCAACAGTCTTGAAATTTTTGGTAGTATCTAAATTGTCAGTACCATTATGGAAAACCAGCATTTCTGACTGGTGCACTGTATAACAGTTTACTGCTCTTTGGTAAAATAAACAAACCTTTGCAAGGACTCTCTATATTACACTGAACAACTTGCATGTACATGTAAGCCATTCCTTCTACCAGTAACGTTATAAACCTCCTAACAAAACCATGATATCCCAAAGTCATCACAACGAACTTCTAGATTTGTTTAACAACACAGGACATATTATTAGCTACATTTCTACCACACGGTGGTTTGTGTTTTGTACTCACCTTGTAGGATACTATCAAGCTCATCTATTTCTTTCCTAATTTCCTTCATGGATTTCTCTCTTTCATTGCTCCTGAAGTGAACAAGGCAGAGTACAGGTGAGTTCAGCATGTTTTGACCATTTCTACATTATGAACTTTTGTATTGAAATGCAAAATAGATGTTTCTTTTCAGCAGTCTGATATCACATTGTTTAGTGTAGTAGCTCAAGAGGTAGTCACCAGTTGGAAGACTGCGAAGTAGGTGAACTTTCTTTTTCTATCTATCTAAACTTTTCTTACAGATTATCTTCAAGAGCACCCTTGGGATGACAAAATGTACTGCAATAATACATTGGATTTATTCCCAAGTTTGCATTTGCTAGGATATCAGTTATAGATTAGAGTATGATTATTTAGGACCTAACTTAACATTGAGAATGCCATGATACTTTCAGCCTGCAGATAACCTATAGTCCTGCTTGTGAACTGACCCAAAACCTTTTGTTTACCTCGGAGCCACTCTAAACAAAGGAGACGCAACAAGAGAGAAACAGCCAGCCGGAGAAAACAAACCGTCCTTTCAGCCCTGATACCTAATACCTCTTATATAACCCTACTTCAACATACGATGTGTGTGCCCCTTCACTTTCAGGTGTACTCAACTAGAACGCTGTGTCAGGTTTGGAGCCACAGTTTACAGAT